CGCACGGAGCCCTCAATACCATGGACGTCAAAATAATTATATTGAATTATCATTCTTAGAAGATTCACATAGACTTCACATTGCTGCCAATACCAATAGTTACTCAAGATGCCTGCAGGAGTGTTTTTTAAGAACAAAACGAAAACACTAGACACAATCCCTTAAATAGAAAGTCATCCCAAATTGAAAACGGCATACTGTTCAACAGTCCATGTCTAAGTAAACACATCTTGCGTAAATAAGCGTGCGTGCGTGCGTGCGTGCGTGTGTGTGTGTGCGTGTCAGACGAAGACCGAAGACTAATATATGCGTATAGCGCATAGCAGTTGGCATCTGGAACAACTGCATGCAGTCAACGTGTGACCTATGTAGAAAAACGCAATATTCCAGGCAACATAAGTACGAGATCATTCCACTGCATTCCCAAATTCAATTCAAACGTAAAAAAGCTTAAAAACAACTAAAAGCTTAGCACGATATGACACGACACTACAAATATCAAGCATTCACCGGTGGATGGGAGCATGGTAACAGAAGACCCCAGCGCACAGCGAGCGGGACCAGTGCACAGCAAACGGGACCGGACCCACCACAAAAGCTGTCCAGATTAGTGTCTGCGACACGGTAAAAACCGACCCGAACGGAAATCAACGGCTTTCGCAGTACTCTTATCAGACCACCACGCCGGTATCGTTTCAGGCGCAGCCATCTTTGAGAGCACCATTCTACGAACTACAGAGAGATGCTAAACGCTTTACAGTCAAAGTTATATACATCAGATGCCTATCGTTTTAGTCACAACTCTGAGAGCACCATTCTACGATCTAAAGAGAGATGCCGACCGCTTTACAGAGTTATATACGTCAGATGCCTATCGTTTTAGTCCAAACTTTTCACGAAACCCTTTAAAAAACATTAGAACCACCTAAATATGAGTTTGCGCCAACTGTGTGACTTTTCAACATGATGATGACGATTTGGGCGTTGGGCAGCACCGACTACGTTGGTCATATGGCGCCCAGACTTTTGAACACACACACACCCGCACGCACGCACCTCCGCACGCACACACCCCGCACGCACGCACACACCCCGCACGCACGCACGCACGCACACACGCACACACACACACATAGCTATGGATACGTCCAAGTAACATGAAAGCACAGTCCTACTGGCATTGCTTAGTGCTTCACTCTTTGTTTTATATTGATGACCTACTAAGACAGCACAGAGCTCACCCTGCTGCTTAAATAAGCTCCCAAGTGGCTAGCATTTCACAGATCGAGAACGTTTTACGTAGTAAAAGGTTCTCGGCTCTATCAGTGGTATGAGGGAGAACGTATCGGCTTGCAACGTATGGATACTACACTGGTAACTCAACAACACTGCCTGCACCTATACTTCATTCCCACAGTTCGCTGGACTACATGTAACCCGTCCTCCCAGCACCCCACCACCACACCAACAGCGGATTTCCTCGCTGCAGTCTTCGTATCTACTTGAAGACAGTGAAAAAACAGTAAGAAGTCAAACCGTCATAAACACGGGAGATGAAACCACAAAAATATGAGACCCACCTGCAGCAACAGTCGACGTATTGCTTCCAGTCCGTCAGGGCACAATCACTTCTTCGTGCTGCAACAATGCTGTTCTGCACATTGACCTCAGAAGCAAAGCCGCGAAAAATACGCATGCGCGAAGCTTCTGTGATGTAAGAAGGCTCATTTACAGAAGCCTGATAAGCACTTCGATGCTTGGCGCATCAGATACGATAAACAGCGATCTTGATGACCTACAATATATAACCTACAATATATATCCTACAGTACATACAATATTACAGCTCTCAATAGCATGGCCAACCACAAAAGCCTTGCATCTGTTACTTTTATGTCGAATATCTTTGGATCGAGCGGAATGTTTTTTGTAACCTGCCTAGGTAGCACGCCAGGTACACAATGATATTTGATGCCACTTGAGAAAATTCTGCAAGACTCGAGAACGCTAAAGTTTTCCTACAAATGGTGATATGGTACGGGTCGCAAATTCAAAACTTATACGGTTGCATCGCTCATCCGAAAAGGCATGAAGTTTGCCTTGCTATTTTGCAGAAGGCGCGCTAAACGATGCAAAAGTCGGGGTAGGGTGCATACAACCCATACCCCCCCTCCCCTTCCCGCCCCCCACGCGTACGTAAGCGTCAGAAAATTGAAATTTTGCCCGTGAGTTATCAACGAACAGAGGACTAAAATAAACGGATATTCCTATCTGGTGCGTGCGCCGGACGCCATTTTCGTGACCGTTGGAACCAAAAACCACTTGAATGGAAACCGGGTAGTGACCATGAACCCCATCACCACACCACTACCAGTCTTTTACGGGGGAATGGGCTTTCCAGCGTTGTCAAGTTACCCCACACTTCATCCAAAAGAGCCCTTCGAAAGACACATGAAGACATGCTTTCCAAAGGACGTGCAGGACGCAATTAGAGAGCGCATGTAGTATGAATGGCATGAAAAAACTCAGCAACGACAGTGAACCGAAACGGCACTCGTGAGTCGCTCAACAAACTGACGAGCTCAAACACGATCAATGACGCACACAACATTGGCCGTCGCACAGGCACACAGTACGCTGGCCGACGCGTTCATAACGCGGCCAGATCTGATCAGTCCGCCCGTTCTTTACATGCTTTACGCTTCTTGCAGCATCAACTAGAGCCGGAACAACGGTACCCCGGCGTCTGCCGCCGCCGTGAGATCTTTTGGCAGACGTCCTCAGGCGGCCGCTCAGAACTCCATGTGCCATGTGCCATGTGCCTCGGAACTGTGTGCCATGTGCCTGTGTGACTTCCGCTTCGCTCAGACATGTCCGCAGACCGCATCCGCCGAACAGCCGCATGTCCGCGACCACTGGCACTGTTTGGCACACATTTGGCTGTGGTCGCGGTGTAAGCAATTATCATTAGGGAACACTTCAATGTCCCAAGGGGAAGGACTGAGCATAAGGCGGCGATGTAACGCTGGTGTTTACTGAGCGGTCGATTTCCACCCAGCAGTTTCGAATCTATCATGATATCAGCACTTCACGGCGCGCTGCAGCAAAGCCCTCCCGTAAGTCCAAACTGAAACAAGTTGCCTTTTTGGGTACAGTTCTCGGCGCCCCTTCGACCACTGAAGACACTGCTCACACCAGTGAACATCGGAGAGTTTGTTCGCCGTGAAATCCGCCGCGCGACCAGATTACCGCGGGCCAGACCAGGTGATCTGCCCCACGACCATTGACCACGTGCAATCGATTTGCTTACGACGCACTTATCATACCTATGTCAGGATGGCAACCGGTCAGTGCGCTGCGGGATATGTGAAACTGACCATGTTCGGGCTTTTGTGCTCGTTCGAAATGCGTGCGCATTCGCAACCAAAGCAATGGAGTGAAAGGCATCGAGCCCACCAAAAATTGGGAATGCTATGCATAGAAAGCCGGGGCATCTTACGCCCTATGTCGTGTCCTTGTTTCTGCCAGTTGTTCGTTCTTTGTACTCCACAGTTTATGGAGCATGTAGATCATACGATGAGCAATATGGAAGGTTGATTCGATGCATCAGTATCAAAGCAAGACTTGAACCAAAGCATTAGGGTGTCGTGAACTGACGAACAGGAGCAAAAGGAGTAACATTAGACCGAGCCACAAAAAAGTGTGCCCATTTTCTTCACTCCGCATTTGCTAGGGTTGCATACTGACTTTTACCAATGCGCAAACACAGCTGGTAGATCCCAATATTTCCTTCAGTGTGACAGCAAATGTAAAATGCGAGAGTTCGACACAGTTTTTACGGGTCCAAAACTTTAAGCGTCGTCGGCGCACGACATTTCGCCGCCCCCGACGGCCCGCTGACGATTCCACGCGTGACGATTCCACGCGTGACTTTGGCACGTGACGTTCGTCACGTGCCAAAACATTCGAAGTAAAACATGGGGCAGTCGTAACCCGCACGTGATGCACTCGCTTGACGTTTCCTAGCTTATTTCACACGACTTTTAGGGGTTGATATGTCGGGTAGGGCCAAAAGAGGTCAACACACGCTTCTGCGGTCACTACAAACTTCATTTTAATCGCATACGAGCAGTAACTGTCGCATTCAAACGGCATTTGCATCGCCAGTGATGCATATAAATTACCCTGGCCCAAGATCTTCCAGGTGTGGGGCTAATTTGGGCATTTTAAGATCCAGCATAAAGTGACCTTCATTTCCTAGGACATTAGTAAAGGTCACGGGCATCGAATGACGTTGATACAAAATTTATTTACAGCTTAACTTATTCAAAATAGATACACATCCCTTATCGCGGTCATTTTCTTTCTTTCCACTCAATTTGAGTGTGGGACTGTAATGACGCTAGCAGTGACAATAATTATTGGTGGTAGGTGGTACTTATTGGTGGTGGGTAGTAGTTATTGGTGGTAGGTAGTAGTTATTGCAAAACACAAAATTGGAAATGTTGGGACAACCTGATTTCTTGGACAGTTTTTGGACTGACAGCTGTTCCGTCCTTCGACTATAGGTTGAACTTGGCACATGAACTTCCCGCAAAAGGCACCTCTGATCAGAATGGGACGCAGAGCGGACCACGCAGTTTGCAAACAAGGCGACAGGTCGGTGACCTGACGTGGTGCAGCGTCTGCATCGTCAGATTGTGTGTATGCAACTTTGAATTTCCCCTCGCCCAAATTTAACCGCGGTGCACTGAACGGATTCAGAAGTGCATTCCGAAACCAGCGGGATTGAATCCCTGTGTCAAGCGAGGGTTAGAGTTCGAGTTTGATAGACTGACTTGTGCAATGAACGGGATCAATGCACCGCTTTTAATCCCATTTCACGCGACTGAAAATGATTGGCTGCGCCTTAATGTTGGACTCGGCAAGTGCCACGGACTGGGTTTTTCGCCCGGTCTGCTGGCATGTCTGAGCGAATAAAGGCGCACACAGAAGCCTACCTTGCGAACCGCCGTCCTCGCTGCAGCGTTGTGACGGTCCTGCCACTCCGCCCGCTGAAACGGAAGCCACCGGGTCAGCGCCCACCAGAGTGGTCAAAGGCGCATATAGTCGTGATGTTGTGTAAACCGTGAACGCAGCATAGATGATACCAAGGCGGACAAATGCTGTCAACGTATCTGCGACACTCTCGTATGAGGACCATGTTTTCGGATTTTTGCACCAGCAAACGCTGCGATTATCGTGGCTAACTATTAACTTCTCGCTGTCCATGATCTGGGATGCTTCATGATGACACAATTCACCAAAAATTACGTAAACTAGCTTCCTCTTCAAATTCCTTAAGTTCCTATTCCTGTCAACTAGCGTCCTGTTTCTTCCCACCAATAACCCCCACAGCTGCAAAAATATTGTGCGCCTATCGAAACCCACCAGCTGCAGCATATCCCCCACACAAGGCGGTTCCAGACTTCAGCAGTGCCCCGCCGCCCCTCCCGGGCGACCGACCACCCGGCCGCGTCAGCCGACGGAGGCCGGGTGGGTCGGACGCGCCGCTCACCGCTGCCGCCGAGCCGTTCGGCGCTGAGCAGGAGGGCGTCGCTCGACTGGTCGGAGCCGGCCTCGAAGCCCTCGAAGTCGGCCACGCGGCCGAGCGCGGCCTCCAGCGCCGCGCCCTCCGCCGTCGCCGCCTCCTCCGCGTCGCCGTCGTCGTCCAGCGTCAGGTCCACCTTCTCCACCTTGATCGGCTCCTGGCCGGCGGTCGCCCGCGGTCAGCGCGCCGGCGCTGTCGTCAGCGGCCGCCCCACAGGTGTTTCGCACTGGACGTGGCCATCATTGCGGCTTTACGACGCATTCAGCAGCTCAGGCTACGTTGTGTCGCCTGCCCCTCACCATGCCAGGGAGGGAGGCCATCGCGGGGAATGGGACCCCGTGCCTCTGATTTTCCAGGCGCGCGATTTAGCCGCAGCGCCACTGGCATCCCTCTCAGTATTGGACACTAGGGACAGGCTTTTTCCTCGGTGGAAGTGGGTCGTGCGTCAGCGTCCTCCAAAACATCAGTCGCACCTGTGCCCGACGCCGAGACACCCTCCGCTCATCCTTTACGCTCGCACTTTGTTCCCACCCTACCTCGATATTCGCCCGTATCGACATCACCACCGCTGACGCCGACAGCCGCACAGAAAGCAACGCACGCTGCCACGAACACAGCCGCATGATCCCCAGCGCCGATACCTGAAGAGGCACCTGAGTCGGCTCGGGCGGCGGAGGCGGCGGCGGCGGCGCCGGAGACGCGGCGCGTGGCGGGTCCGTCTCGGCGCGGCGCTTGTGGCGCGGCTCGCCGGCGGCCGGCGAGTCGGCGCGGCGTCGACTCGCCGGACCGGGCGGCTCGGGCCAGCGGGCGCGTCGGCCCGGCGCCGGCCGCTCCGCCCAGTCGGCGCTGGCCGGCGGCCACTGCGGGGGCTCTGGCGGCGGCGACGGCTGCTCGGGCGCCTCCGGCTGCGGCGCGACGCCGACGTCAGGACCCGTCGGAACGCTCGGGACGCGCCCCACCGTCCCTGGTTACGCCAGTGTCACGAAATCCCAATAGCAGACAGGGCATTTACTGATGCAGCGTTGTAGGCAACTGATAACCCCTGAACCCATACAGGCTACCTGCAAGGAACGGAAAACACTGGACTCAAAGGGCTATGATAGGCATCGATGACAACGTGTTAACTCCAGCCCCAAACCCAATAGGCACTACGGGTGGCACAGGCACGTGAGCATAGCACGCATGGGGTGGAGGCGTCACATGCCCAACAACGCGATGTGGCTGGGACGTGACGTCATTAAATCCTGTGCACAGCGCGGTTCTGCAGGGACACAGATGCATGGTTTCACAGGGACACAGATGCGTGGTTCCACAGGGACACAGATACGTGGTTCCACAGGGGCACAGATGCATGGTTCTACAGGGACACAGATGCATGGTTCTGCAGGGACACAGACGCATGGTTCTACAGGGACACAGATGCAAGGTTCTACAGGGACACAGATGCATGGTTCTACAGGGACACAGACGCAGGGTTCCACAGGGACACAGATGCATGGTTCTACAGGGACACAGATGCATGGTTCTACAGGGAACGCCTCAGAAGTTTGCATGACTATGTTACGTCCACTGAGGGGCTGCGACTGCCAGAGCCGAGCCAGCAATAACAACGGGTATAAACCGGAGGACCCCACCGAGGACACCTAGGTTCCGTTCAAGGTTTCGAGCCAGCACTCTGTTTCAGCAGCGGCGGTGCAAGTTCTGCGGCAGCTCAGAATAGGAGCCGCGATTCAACACCAGACTCCCGTGGCGTCTGCTGCGCCGTATTTTGCCCACCTTGTCGTCGTTCCCACTGAGGCCCTGGACCTGCAGCATCTCGGCCGTCTTGATGAAGCTGGCCAGCTGGCTCTGGGCCACGTTGACGCTGCCCTTGTACATGAACTCGATGATGGCCCGCAGGTCGGCGGCCGACGTGTCCTTCAGGAAGATCACCATCTGCTGACATGGGTTGTCCTGCAAAAGAACACATGAGTGCAGGGCTTACATGTTATAACACTGCCAGGTCTGGCCACTTTGGCCTGATCTCTAAGGATATACAAAAAAGTTGGTCTAAAAATTGGTCCAATTCAGCATACTGTTATCCACAACGCAACAACAAATACCTCTGTACAAGACCGTGGTGTTGCTCCTGTTGAAAAAAGCTCGGATTACATGGTTGCAGCATTTCAAGCTCCCATAACCCATCTGAAGAAACTATGAACCTCACCAACAGACCCGTTTTGACAGTGCATAATCACTTACGAGCTGTCGCAAACCAACCCATATTTAAAAACAGCGTTGGCGTCATCTGTGAGCCAGTGCTAGAGGATTAACTCGCATGAGTCTGGACTGCGACACAAGGCAGGCTCAAGATACCGCGGAACCTATACGTCATCCCTCATCCAGTCCACGGCCTGATCAGAAGAAACTAGCATGGCTCTGCAATATGTGAGGGGTTAAGCCCCGTCAAACCATCTAAACCTCGCCCTTTTCCACAGTGTGAGGGCGTTTATCCGACTCTGCTTAATAATTTCACACGCGATGGTCCGGAGCGGTACTTCAACAGTCTAGTGGTGGCGTGCTAAGAGATCTCCCACTTTCAATCAGATGGTCTTGCGGCGCATGTCATGGCTCACGCATCAAAGTGGTCACATGACGTCGCGCGTCGGGCTAAGACAGGTCAAATAGGGTACCCAGTACGCTGAATGTCCAATTTAACTAGCCGTTGGTTGCCATGACGTCAGGAATTTTCGAAACGTAGCCTAGCAACCCCACAGCGAATTTCTTTTACTTATGTGCACTGCACCTTTCATTGTGTTAGGAAGTTGACCGGCGTTGTGCAATTCCACCATACGGTACGCGTGAGCGTTACATAATTATCTGAAGCATGATGAGCTATTCACGGTGAGAATCCTTCTACTTGACGTGGCCTACGTAACTGGATAATTCCAGGTCAAAATAATTTACCCTGAATGACACTATGCGCGCTATGACTGCTGCCTCAGTCAGCACCCATAGGCCTTTTGCATATGCAACACCAACAGAATCTGGCCTACCTGCTGCAACTTGGTGGCACTTAAATACCAATCGGAGCTCCCTTGTCGTAATGTCGGTCCCGGTTACAAAAAGCGGAGCAGCTACCTCAGATGACGTCCACAGAACAAAGCTAATACAAGTTAAACGATCGGCCCATTGCTTCCAATGTGCAATATGGGACGTGCTGTAATCACCATATGACTTGCCAGCCAAACTAAACATGCTGACAGGGAATTAGCGAAAAATACATCTAACAAGATTGGTGATTGCAAAACGCATTTTGACACTTTTGGTTAACCCGGTTGTTGTATTGCAAACTAACCACAAAACTAATTTATAAGTACATTAATAGTGCTCTATAATCCGCTTTGTCAGACAGTCAAGCACTTATCCAAAGAGAGTGGTCCATATTTTTGTGGGGTTTTGACCTGAAAAAGCCATCTTGAAGACTTTTCAGTACTGTTCACATCCAGCCCTTTTAAAACCTAAGACCCTCTAGCTTCTGAGCTACACGCCCACCGAAATGGGGAAAGGTATATTGGGGAGTGTTTCAGAGTCACCTTGGCATTCATGGCGCCAAAAAAACGTCATTAAAATCCTGCCATTCCATAAGTTATGCGGCGATCAAGGCCAACAAAAATATAATTGTTGGGGCGTTCAAATCTGGCGTTGGTGAGCACTTCCAGATAAACGGCCATTCATTGGCTCTCAATCAAGGTTGTGCAAGGGGCGATAACGTAATCAAACCATGACGTATTGAGGAGCATACTTAATAAATAGAGAACTTATACCTAGCAGTCTAACCTATATAACCTATACCTAACCCTATATAACCTATATAACCTATAGCAGTCTTTTCAACTTAGAAGTACATCAATATCTAAAGTGAGCATATTTCATCATATATGATTCCTGCTTTGATACATTCAAATGTGAAACATTCCCCTCAATGTGATGAAAAGTATCTGCAAATCAACACCAAATTAACAACGCCGGTCAAATCGGCGTGACTGAAAACGCCCATACACCATACATCATGAATCGGTGTTCAGCATTATGTACCTTGAGCAGCTCCCTGAAGTATGGGCTGCAGGCAGACAGCATCATCCGGTGCGCGCGCACCCGCTGGCCCTCGCAGCAGAGCGTGATGTCCACCAGCTCGCCATCCAGCCTCAGCTGATCAAACAGTGACGTCACACTGCCCTGGAAGCCATCCCACTTCAGGCAGAACTTCTGGCCGTCCATCATCTGAAAGCGAGCAGGACAACCCCCCGCGGTTTAGTGCGATATGAGGTACGGATCGCCCAGTCAGTCCACCACGCCAAGCATACCGGAGGTTTGCACGTGGCAGGCGCCGCGTCACGGTCGACACGTGGCTCGTGTTCCTGGGGCACGGGGGGCACGATAAACTCGACGCCCGCGTTGTGAAGCGTCAACAGTTTGGGCAGCTGCCTATCCCGAAAAAGGACCCAACATTTCTGCGATCTGTCCAACTTAACTAAGGCGTTGGTCGGCGGTGAGGCAGTCTGGACGAACAAATGTGACAACGATTCGCTGCTGGGATAAGAGGAACATAACTGTACCAGCAGCTGATGCACCAAAGTAGCAATGGCAGCGCAGGATGGCGTGTTGGCGTTTGCATTGCGAGGAACATGGGGTACCAGCAATGTCAGCTGGGTTTCACACATTTCAATCTGCTATCAGGCTGATGTAGAGCGAACTGCACTCTCTTCAGCCTGGCAAATGATGTGGCTCAGGGCCAGCTCATGCCCATTGTCACCCATCAAGGACATCACACACGATCGGCGAAGATCGCTATCGATCAATCGAAGATCGATTGCGGATCGGCGAAAGATCCGCGCAGGTGGCCTGCGCTATGGTCCCAACAAGCACCTTACAGAGAACACAACCTGTTTACCTGCACAGGCAACTGTTTGATTATGCACTTTGGGCCAGTGATGTTGCTAGTGCACAACATATGCCAGGTACATGGGGGGGGGGGGGGGGGGGGGTCGACACCTGCCTGCCTGCAAGCAGTTTGGGGGAGGGACTGCTCTTGCTGAATGAGCCATACTTTGAAATATGCTATCTGATACACAGGTAGGTATGTTGTGTCATTAATCAGGCATACAACAAAGGTTTTTGAAATTCATTATCCTAGCATCAGAATCATGCAAAACATTTATTCACAAAATTCAGCCCAATGGATGACAAAAAGCGGAAAGGTTTTTGTGCTCAACAAACAGCTTTTCTATAGTCTGCAATGTCCCAGCTTTCAGCACCGTCCTGATCCATCAGAAAGTATATTAGAATTGCAATTGGACAGTATATTGCAATATTTATAAATATGTAGATACACACACACATATCTATGCAATGTCCCACTTAGAATTGAAAAAGACTATATATATATATATATATATATATATATATACATGGGAAAAGTCACCAGAAGATATATTGCCACTAAACCTTCCAGAAATGTTGCAGTCATCTGCTATCACACCTGCCACCAGCAATTTGCAAACATATCACTTCTTTGGGCCAAATGCAAAAAGTATGGCTGCGCAAAGCACATTAAAACTAACAAATTCCAAACAATGTCAGCATTGCCAGTACTCCACTTTGTTCTTCCCAAAGCCCTGTCACTATGTTATAGCTTGGAGTGCTCCTTACAGTAATACTGTGCAGAGATCTCACTTTGCATGTTACATGCCAAACCCCAGCTTTGCCAGATTAATGCAGCAAGTGGAGCAAATGCATGGTAGAAAACAAACAACCATCACTCAGGCATAGATTCTGGAACCACCACCTCGTTACGTTCTTTATGTGGAAGTACCATGTGTGAACTACTTAGTGGCCTGCCAAAATGATGAACCATGCCTGTTAACAAACTTTTTTTTGGATATACATCCATAATGATAAGGAATCATTATGTGTTTGTTAAAAATGGCAGGAATTCATACCTTATGGAGACCCAGTAATGTTATAGCTCAGAGTATGTCACTCTGCATCAGCTGGCTGTGTTGACATCTTGGTAGTTGTTAACCATTCATACTATATGTTGTCATCAAAGCTCTAGACTACAGATACCAATGGCATTAACAGCCAGTATCTGGTATCTAAAGGCACAAAAATGCATTACTGTCTTTGCTTGCTGTTGTATGGGGTATTTTTCATGCAAAAGGTGAAGACTTGTGAACAGAATACTGGACATAAGCTGAACTCATTATATTCTGGGAACAAAATTGTCTTTAAAATACAGCTCCTCAACAATTAACAACAATTTGAGAACAAGATTATCACCTGACATCAGCAACACAAGCCTGTGGGTTGGGCAGAATGTATGGCCTTGAGTGTGGAAAGACACATATTCGTAATGGAATGATAATACTGGTATGGTACATGAGGCTGCTGAAAGGAAATGAACCCCACTGGTTGGTCTTGAAGCCCATCCTACCCATCCAATCATGACCAAATGAATGCATTGTCAGACTGGTATATTGATTTCCTTATATATTTATTATTTATCTTGACTTTATTCTATGCCTTGTATCATTATCATACAAAATTTAAGACAGGATGTCATCTATCTACATATCATTGATCATTATCATCTGAGGCTCACAGCATCACAAATATAAGACAACTACAGGTTCTCATGATAAATGCTATTATCTTTCATGCAATGTTTATTTACTCAATAATTATGCATTTTGGGAAAACTGGTACATCACATGAGAGATACAGCAAGCATTATACACCATCGTCTTTCACAATATTGATGGTACAATAGAAATCCAGTAATAGTTTACTTTTTTAGCTGTGAGATATGAGCAGTATTGGACCAGCACTGATCATTACTATAATATATTTAGGACTACAGTCACATAGCTTGGCTTAGCACAGGCAACCATCTAAAGGCAAAATTATGGATTATGGCATAGGTACACTTGAAATCATGGCACCAGGCCAAGCAAGAATTTGCTGGGTTAGGTCAGTATGGGTTAGTCTACATCACATTATTACACAGTTCAACAAAAACTTCTCAATAAAATTACTAAAATCTGTAGCCAATTTTTCAGTGTTTAAACTCCACCAAAAAGCAGATAGTTGTTTATTTCAAGATCAAAAGCAATGATGGTAGAGGCATGCAGCTAGGGAATAACATGAGAAACAAAGTCACCTTACACTCGTAGGTACAAATTGTGTCATATTTCACCTACAAATTCATGGCAAGGACAGCAAAGAAAATACCATGCAACTTTTTGTACTGCACAAAGTAGCTACTGTATATAAAGAAAGCGAAAACTCAGCAAAATATGTTCAGATTATCAGTGTCCCATGTGCTTCTTTGAGAAGTCAAAACAAGTCAAATTTTGACAGTCTTTTAAGAACTGCGAGGCATATCCAGGAGCAAAGCAATGCGTTTCAGAATTCTGCATGTTCAATTTTATGCCTTCAGCATGCAACAGTCAACACGGTACATCTTAGGTCATGGGCTTTCTTTACCGTTATTAAACAAGGTGACCGTTTCACAGAACGGTGCCGGTCTTTTCACGCTGTCCACGGCCCTCCTCACGATTCTCCCTGATACGCCTTCTGCCCGTTAGTGTTCTCCGAGCCTTATTCTTCTGTTTTTAGTGTTTATATTACGGCTCGCGCACAGCGTCACCGTCCCGTAGATTGTCTTACGAAGGCAAGTGTGCGCCGGATTCGGATCAGATCAAGTTTTTTCGCATTTAAAACCCTTCGATTCGTTTTTCGAAGAAAATTCAAATTTCTCAAAAGATCGAAAGGTTGAGTCACTTAAAAGTTGGCAACCCTTACACCAAACTGCTGTGGTATCCTAATGCACGATGTGAGCTCGCACTTGGCATCATAGGAGTACTTCGTTGGCTGGCGCTTGTTCGCTGCGCCGCTGCGCGAGCCATGCACTCCACCGAGATCGCGATTTTTCAGTGTTTTTGCATTGATTGGACAACCAATTATAGCTTCAGAATGGCGACGACTGTGGCTATGGGCATGGCCTGCTCGGTAGCGGACGTCGCGAGCGGTGGCTGGGCGGCGGCGCGCGCCGTCTCCCCGCCGCGGAACGTGGCCGCGCTGCCAGACACGCGGCGCCGCCCGGGAGGCGTCGGCTGCCTCAACGACTTCAGCCTCCTTTCCACCGTGCTAGTGACGGTGATGTACACTGCTGGTCGTAAGCTTCATCTGCCGGTGACGGAGCCGGCGGTGGGTACCCGCGTGCTGTGGCCCGTGGTGCCTGGGTTCATCACGCTCGCGATGTTGTCGGTCGACACGTCCCTCTCCATTAGCGGCGTACTGCACGCGTGCTGGCGGCGGCGGCCGGCGACCGACGACGGGCCGCGCGCGGTGCTGGCGGCGCACGGGTTCCGCTTCCCGCGCCTGACGCCCGCCCACGTCCCCGTCACTGCCGTGGTCGCCACGCCGCCGCGTTTGGCCGGCTCGGCACTGTTCTACGGCGGTCGTGCGGCGAACGTGATGTGCAGTGACTGCCGCCAGACGTGGTGGCAACGCCCGCTGTATGTCGACAACCTCCTACGAGCGGCGCCGACGGCGCCGCTCTGTCTCGGTCGCACCTGGTCCCTGGGGCTTGACTTCCAGCTGTTGCTGCTCGGCCCGCCGTTGCTGGTCGTTTTCCAGCACAGTCGCCGCGCCGGCGCCGCCTGCCTGGCGCTGGCCGACGGCGCGTCTGTGCTCGTGCCGGCGGCCATCACTTTTGCCAGGCGCCTGCCGCCCACCTACCTGGTGCCGGGCGAGCGGCCAGCGGACGCGGCCACGCGGGACGACTTCCCCTACCTTGTGTACAACGCGCCGTGGTCGTGCGCCGCGCCCTGCCTGGCCGGCCTGGGCGCCGGCCTGCTGCTGGACCGGCCGGGGGCCGTCGGCCGCGCCTGCCGACCGCCTGCGCCTGCGTGGCGCTGCAGGTCGGCTTGGTCAGCCTGGATCGCCTCGACTCGCAGCCGGACGCCGCCGCCTGGAGTGCGACGGATGCGCGAGCCGGCCTACCCCGCGGTGCTCCTCTGCCACGGTGTTGTCGCTGAGCCGCCTCTGCTACGCGGCGCACCTCGTCTCCATGCCCGTGCAACAGTGGTGAGTGTGGGGAGTGACGAGCCCGTGCTGCTCAACACGGCCGAAGCGCTGGTTTGGGGCGCCTAGCACCTGGACATCAACTTGGCCCTGGCCTTGCTGTTCACGCTGTTGGCCGAGATGCGGCAACGGCAACGATTGTCCGCCTGCTGGCGCGAATGTTGGTCCAGGGTTCGGCGGGTCGCGCCGCCAGGGTGCGCGCTTGGGAGAACACGGAAGGACATGAGGAGAGCACGGAACGAAGGAACACATAAGGACACGAGGAGAACACGGAACGAAAGAACACATAAAGACACCAGGAGGACACGGGACGAGACCCAGCCGGGGGTCTGCGTCGCGAACGCCAAAACAAAATTCGAGAGCAGAGCAGAGCAGAGCGTCGGAGGTTGGGCCGGAAGTGTCATGAGGTCAGAACAGCAGTTGGGACAGACGAGGGAGCGTCAGGAGGTCGAGCCGGCAGTTGGGACAGACCAGGGAGTGTCATGAGGTCGGAAGAGCAGTTGGGACAGACGGGGGAACGTCAGGAGGTCGGGACAGCAGTTGGGACAGACGAGGGGGTGTCAGGAGGTCGGAACAGCAGTTGGGACAGACGAGGGGGTGTCCGGAGGTTGGACCGGCAGTTGGGACGGACAGTGTTATTCAGTCGAGCCGACGCGATGGAGGAGCACATCCGTCGCACAAGAAAACACCTTCGAGCGTGATTGGAAAGCTTCTTTTGTTGTGAAACATAAAAAACATACAGGGGTGGAACTTAATATCTCCTGGGGGATGGTGGGGGGAGGGACATGGCCCTCAAGGTTAAACTGGATCCCCCCAACATTGGACTGGGTTTCTGGAATATCAGACTGAGCTTCCACAACGTTGAACTTAGCCCCCATACCCTCTCATTTCTTTACAAAATGGATAATTCAAAATGTTGTAAAAAAAATCGCAGCATAGATATACGTTTCAAATCATTTTCACATTGGAGCATGTCCAGACGCCATGAAAAAATCGAATTACCGAACTATTGTTCAAAAGGCTGCTGTACTGTGCTGTTGAAATGAGACAAGAACGCCGCATTTTAGACAGCTGTGAATGAATGCCAAATTTAAAAGCGTCTTTGAAATCGGCCTTGTGCTGATTAGGTCTCTGATCAAGCCGTGGATGCCCACAAACAGTGCAAGCGACAAAAACGTTCCACAATTTTTGTTGGGCATGTCGCTAGGGGCAAGTTCAAGATTTCATCAAAGGAGGTGTCGCGTTTCACTGCGGTACTCCCCCCCCCCCCCCGGATCCAGGTGCCCCGCCCTCTCAAAACTCCCCCTATTTCTGCCACATCTAGAGAGCAAGAATACCGATGGCCGCAGTTTCCATCAAACCGAGCGGCGGGCTGGCGGGCGCTTGGGGCGCGGGAGCAAGCGTGAAATGTTGCTTCCGAAAAGTGAGACACACGCCCGGACTATCTCCTAAATGTACGAGTCGACGTTCTCAAGCGTTTAAAGGAATTCCTTTCAAAAATGTTAACGTTTTTGTTCGCTCGCTGGCCACCGTCTGGTGTAAGCCGCGGGCCGACATCACGTGGCCTGCGGAGACTGTAATGCCGGACGCCGGGGTTTTTCTTTCATTTTCTTTGAAGATTTGCGAGCGCGTATTGTCAAAACCATTTTGCCATCTACTCGATAACGTGGATTGACGATGCCGATACAAATTCATGACTCCATTTTGTTCTAAGATTTACATTCACTATGCTCTACGTTCACAAATCTCTGTACCTATAACCCGGAAAATTCCAGCACATCATCTGGATGTCATCAGCTCAGGAAAAATGCAATCATTGTAAGATGAATGCTGAGGACGGTTTATTCTATGCAATCGTTTGAGCCTGTTACCTTTAATTTATTTATTTTAAAATGAAAATATCTTCATTTCCGCTGGTTGCATCTGGCTCTCGTTTCAGTTAAAGATAATTATTAAAGCATAACGAAGAAAATCGTGCCCGTCGAAATCAAGTGAGCCATATCCGGTGTTTTGTTTCGACGGGGCACTTCGTCATCCCTGTGTCTCTTTCCCACCCGACCAAGACTGGCTGAGCCCCGTGTGTGCGTGGGGGGGGGGGGGGGGATCATTGAGCATCGAGCACGCGTGCATGAGTATAATCAAATCGTCGCTGAAGTGCCAGTTTGAAGGGAATGTTCGACATTGGAAGATACCGAAACATGCATCAGGTTTGATGAAATAAGGGCACTTATAACTATTGGTATAGCTTTAAGTGGATAAGACTGCTTTGGATAACACATTTTTCTGCTTTGTGAATATGCTCCCCTATACGCCATTGTTAGATGACGTCATCTTACCTTGCACAGCATTGATTAAGACCCAATTGATGGCAGCTATATTTGGAAATTGTGCTCACAAGCGCCAGATATGAGCACCACGGCAATTATATTTTGCTTAGTCTCGATCGCTGCATGACCTATGGAATGGCAAGATTTGCTTGACGTTATTATGACGTACAGATGCTTGGATGACCTTGAAAGTCTCCCGAATTAGTCTTCACATCTTCATTGGCATGTAGCTCAGAAACTAGAGGGGTTTAGATCTTAACCTGCATCAGGTTGGGGGTCCCAGACAACTGCGCTCGGCCGGGGAGGGGGGGGGGGGAGAGAAAGATTACTTCCCCCTGAGATCACGAGCTTCCGAACGCCTCATGAGGACAGCAAAGATGCCGTTTTGAAGGTCCCGTCAAATAATTAAGACTATGCAGCCAATTTTTAACCTTAGGTCAAATATCAGGTCTCTAGAAGTCACGAAAGAACAAAAACGATCGTTCCGAGTGACGTAGTGCGGGGTCGGGGCCCGAGAGAGGCAACCGTGTATAAGGTCCCTGCGTGACCAGCGAGGTCAGGTAAGGCTGAGCGTTACGCTCGAGCGTGCGCCTCGAGCCCAGGTGCAGCTCGAGCTGCCACCAGCGCTGCCGTAACGCGTCTCAAAACAGCATTGCTTGCGTTCAAGATCGCTTTTGAGTGGGCACCTGAGGCGGAGGCGCGTTACATAACTGCGCAACGTGTGACGCAAGATTACGCCGATCACCACCAGCCGTCGCCGCACACGTACTACGCAATCAGCACCAGCGCGGATCCGTCGCCACTGACTGCTGGCTTCCGGGTAGCTGGGGGGCTCCGCCTGATCCCATACAAGAGAGGCTCGGTGATTGTCCACTCATATTCTGCACGAAAAAATACACCAGATGCTCACCATACAAAGCCACCACAAGTGGACTGAACCAGTGCAGAACATGGATTAAAATCGCGAGAACATGGCGGCTCCGTTGTGTCTTAAACAACTGCTCAGCGGCACTCCCGTGGCCGGGCGCGACGCCTGCGGGTTCTCAACGCGTATGACATGTCCGGCACGTAGGGCCTGCGGGTTCTCAACGTGTATGACATGTCCGGCACGTAGGGCCTGCGGGTTCTCAACGCGTATGACATGTTCGGCACGTAGGGCCTGCGGGTTCTCAACGTGTATGACATGTCCGGCACGTGGGGCCTGCGGGTTCTCAACGCTTATGACATGTCCGGCACGTAGGGCCTGCGGGTTCTCAACGCGTATGACATGTTCGGCACGTAGGCACACAGTCGCCGCGCCAACGCGAGCGGCGCGGCACACGAGTCAGGTCGGGTCGGGTCGGGTCAGGTCGGACTGCGTCGGGTCGGGTCCGTGCCGAGGGCGGTCCGCCGCCGCCAGGTTCGGCCAGGTCGACCGACCTTGTCCGAAAGCTGCGCCGGACGGCGGTGTCACAAGGTCCGGACTCACACAAGGTGTACCTCGTCAGGTCATCTCACTACAAGGTCACCTCACCAAAACGTCCCTGTCCACAATGTCGCCCGTCACAAGACCCGGTCTCGCCACAAGGTCCAATCCCGCCACAAGGTCACCTGGTCAAAAGGTCAGACCCCGCCAAGTAATCCGGCCCGCCACAAGGTCACCTCGCCACATGGTCCGGCCCGCCACAAGGTCCGGCCCGCCACAAGGTCCGATCCCGCCACAAGGTCCCGCCCGCCACAAGGTCCGATCGCGCCACAAGCCGTCGCGCCGGCGGTCGGCCCTGTCTTCTTTGTACTCTGGCGCCCCACGCCGGCGTCGTCACAGGTGGGTTGTCTCCTTGCCACTGTCTGCCAACAAGGACGAACAGCACACGGTTACCGGTGGGGACGGAGCC